CGGGGCCGGGCGCGGCAGGGAGGGGAGCCCAACGGCCCGCCGGCTCCAGGCTGGTGCCAGGCGAGGGAGGAAGGCGCCTGGGGGTGAGCCCGGGCAGAGCGGGTGCCCAGCTTGCACACAGCACAGACACTCGGAGCTGAGGGTAAAAAAACATTTAAATATTCCAACATCAGTGCAAGGCAAGCGCAGGACCCCCAGGGCCCGCGGGGCAGCATGTGCCACGGCCAGGCCAGGCATCCACGGGAGGGGCGTGAGGGCACCCCAGGACCCAGAGACAGCAGCAGCTGCCAGGGGAGCCTTTGGCACAGCGAGGCAGCAGCAAGGGCCTCAGGCCAGCACAGGCCGCAAGCTCAGCTTGCAGCCCCTGCCCAGCCACTGGCACTTCTCACCACGTCCCTGGGGTAGCGCACAGCCCTGGGCCCAGTCCTCCGCCAGCCCACGCCGGAGCGGCCCCGCGCCTGCACCTGCCGCAGCACGGCAGCGCCCGTCGCGGCCCCCGGGCTGGGGGAAGGGGTAAGGCCGTGGCATCCAACTGCCCGGCTCTATTGGCAAATGCTTTGGCATAGCAGCTTCCCGGGCCTGAGGCCTGGGGGGAATGTGCACAGAGATGCCTGCGCCCGCTGGGGCACTGATGTGTTGCTCCATGGGGGCCCCAGGGCACAGCTCACAGGCCCAAGGCACCACCCCGATGCATCCAGGCACCAGCAGCAGCAGGCAGAGCCCGCACAGCTAGTCCCCGGGCGGAGCAGGCACGGCAGGGCCTGCAGCCCACAGGGAAAGTTCAGAACGGGGCAGGCTCGACCCACAGAGACAGCTGCTGACGTGGTCGAGCCGCCAGCACCTCTGGACCACGTTCCTGGCCCGCTCCTGCAAGGCCTCCAAGTGCCCCAACAGCAGGGGGGAGCAGAGACAGCACGAGCCATCCACGCTGCAGCCATGTCCCACGACGCGCTGGCCGCTGCATGGAGGCCCTGGGTCCAGGCACCCCAGGCAGGGGCATGGCGCTGCCCGCAGCTGCGTCTGCAGCCAGCGTGCAAACTGCGAACGCCCAACGCAGGGCGGCAGCTCAGCCCACAGCACCGCTGGCGCCAGAGGGTCCCGAGGCCGGAGAACAGGCGGCCCTACAGCCGGGTGGGCTCTTCCTCGCTGTCGCTGCAGTTCCCGCAGCAGGCCTGAAGGCAGGGGCAGTGGAAGGGGGGAAGAGAGGAGCAGAGCAAGCAGAGGGTGAGCACGGTCACACAACACAGAGCCCACACAGCGGGGGCGCAGCTAGGACAGCAGTGCGGCTGCAGCTCCAGGCCACCCGTGCTGCGCTCCGGACAGGAGCAGCGGGCAGCTGAGGTCGGCTGCGGGAACAGAGCCTGGGCCTGGGGCTGGGGCTGGGGCTGGGGCTGGGAGCCTGCAGGCACCATCTCACCTGGGGAATAATCGGGGCACAGGTGATCACTGAGCCCTTCACAGCTTATGAGCCCTGCCTGCTTCCCCTCTGCAGGGCACGGGGCCATGCAGGGCGTCCTGCACGGGTGTCCCGGGGCAGGGCAACTGGCTCAGAGGGTGGGCAGCAGAGCCCCCAGCCCAGCGAGGCAGCGAGCGCAGGGACGTGCGGGGATTAGTGGCTCGAGGGGCAATTAAGACACACAAGCGGCATCTGCTTGGTGGGGGCAGAAAGGGAACGAAGGACAAGGCTCCTCTTCCCCGGTCTCGCCATGTCGCAGGTGAGTCTAGGCCACCAGGCATTTCCCTGAGCAGAGCAGCCGAGATACTGCTCACCTCTGGAAGGAGAGAACGGGCGCGTCACCACAGCCCGCGGGGGCGCCGGAGCAGGGCTCCAACCGGGGCTGCTCTGAGCTGGCACAAGCTGACGACAGCCCGTGGCATCGGCCTGCCCCCAGGAGCCCCTGGCCCTGCTCCAGGCCTGGCTGTGGTGGCTCAGGGCTGCCCGCGAGTGCCGAACGTCCCTGAGCAGCTGACACTGCCCACGCGTGGGGATGCCCCCCGCCCTGGCAAACTATCTATCCATCTCCAACCCCCAGCACCTCCACCACACCCACCCCGCTTCCAGGCCTGCTCTCTGCCACCCCACACCCCTACTCCCAGGTCTTTCCCCCTGACTTGGGTCCTGCCCATCTCTGTCCCCTCTGTGCCCACCTGCCCTTGCCTGGCACCAGTCGCACTGCACTGCCAGCACCAGCATCTCCTTGGCCTGCAAGGACTGACTCTTCCCTCCTGCCCCAGGGCCTGCATCTCCCAGCACCCCCCAGCAAAAAGAGGCCAGCGCAGGAGTGGGGCCAGCCTGTCCTTCGGAGCCTGAGGACCCTGCCCCTCGCAGGGAGCCACGGTCCTGAGCCCTGTGCGGAGCCAGCGCGAAGCCTGGCTGCACCTCTGCTGGCAGGAGGCGGCTGCCTGGAAACAAAGTGAGTGGTGGTGCAAGGGAGGGGGATCCTCACAGTGCAGGACCGGGCCTGTGAGTCTCTGGGCTCGGAGGTCCCCGTGGCCTTTCTGCTGCAGATGAGGAGAGGGGCCTGGCCAGTGCGCCCAGGGCAGCGCCAGCAGGAACCAGGGAAGCGCCACGCTACAGATGGAGCAAGGACCCAGGGAGGCGGGAGGAGAGGAGCAAGGGGGCTCCACAGCCTGCACCTTTCATTTCCCGGGCACAAGGCCCAGCACCTGGCACCCAGCTCTAGCAAGGCAGCCTGCAGGGGCCCACCCCTCCGGCCCTGATGGGCCCTACAGATGCCTGCCCCCGAAAGGGGCTGTCCAGGGTCCAAGCCCCCCACTTGCTGTTGTGTGACCCAGGCTTTACACCACTTCGCTGGCACCCCCTGGCATCTGACCCCCCCTACAAGCAGTCAAGTACTACCTGTCTGCTAAAGAGACGCTGGAGCAGGCCCTTCTTGGGCTGCGGGGATGGCTGCCCCTTCCAGTCCAGGTCGGGGGGCACTGAGCCATCTGCGTTGAAGACATTCAGCTCCTGGAAACACTCTGTGTCGACCATCTAGGGGACAGAGGTGGCAGCTGAGCAGCACCCACACCTGCCGCACAGCATGGAGCTGGCCCTGCCAGCAGCTGCAGCGTCCCCACCCCTACCTCATTCTGCCAGGGGATGGGTACGCTGCCTGTGGCAAACTTCTGGTAGAAGTCGTTGTCTGTGGGCTCCAGCTCCACTCCCTTCACCGTGGAGAACTGCTCGATATCCAGCACGTCCTTGCAGTAGATGGCCTGGGGCTGTGGGGGAGCACGGGCCCAGGGTCAGGGTCAGGCCAGAGCACCACTTGGAGGTAGGGGGAGGGACCTGGGAAGGCGTGGAGGTCAGGTCCCCCCCAGTCAACAGCTGCCAGGGCCCCTGCCCCCTCAGGCCTCCCCGCACTGCCTGGGTGACACTCACGTCTGGCTTGAACGGGGGCTCCAGCATGCCCGCCTCCAGCCGCTTGAAGTTAAGGTGCCTGAAGAGAGGATGCTCCTTCACCTCCTGCGCTCCATCGCCACGGCAGCCCAGCCGCTCCAGTGGATCCTTGCACAGGAGCTGCCACGGCACAGTGGGGTCAGACCTGGGCTCGGGGCTCTGGGCACCATGCAGGGAAGGTAGCGCCTGCCCACCAGAGCCCAGATCCCAACTCCCACCCAGGGAGGGTCCAGGCACTCTGATGTCCCCTCTCCTGCAGCTCGCTCTCGGGTGCCCGGGCACAGCCGCTGCACGCCAGCAACACACTGCAGCAGGGGCAGCTGCAGCACCAGGAAAGCGACCCGGGGCGGGGGGGACTGTACCATGGTGCAGAGGGAGCGGGCGCAGGGTGAGAACTTCTCCGAGTACTCCTCCGGCACCTCCTTCACCAGCCGCTCCACCTCCTCCCGCCGTATCTTCCTCTTGCGCTGCTGGAAGGGTGACTGCCCCTCGATCATCTCGTACACGAGGCAGCCCAGAGCCCACCAGTCTGGGCTGAACGTGTAGTGCTCGTTCTTCACCACCTCGGGAGCTGAGGGGGGCACAGGCCAGTGAGAGGGGGCAGCAGCAGCCTCCCCACACAGGCACCAGGCCAGGCCAGGGAAGAGTTCACTCCCACCTGACTCCCTCCCCAGTGCCCTCCCGGCAGCGGAGCAGGGCAGGGCAGGGCAGTGCAGGGCAGGGGGAAAAGGGGGCTGGCAGGCTCTGTAGTGCACAGCCTGAGCAGCACAAGTCCAAAGGCCACAGCCCAGCAGCCCTGGGCACATCCTGGAGCACCCCTAGGAGAGGGCCGGGCTGGTGCAGTCAAGGAAACCCTCGCACTCCTGGCAGATGAAGGGAGCAACAGATGCCCCAGCTGTGCAGAGACAAGCAGAGCATCGCTGCAGCCCCGGGGGCTCCTGCACATGCAGTGCTGGAGAGGGCAGGGAAGGGCTGGCACGAAGCCTGTGCCAGCCAGGGCTCTGCTGGCATCCAGGTGCCGCTACGGGGACAGGACTCCACACCTGCCGTGCTCCAGGGTGAGCACCGGCTCAAGTTGCACCAGGATGACCCACTGGGCAGGAGAGCAGTGCAGAGGGAAAGCAACCCTGGGGGTCACAGTGGTCGGAGCAGATGCTGCGCAGCCATGCAGAGCAGACCCAGCAGCTTGCGCCTGTGGCAGCACTCACCCATGTAACCCACAGTGCCCACACGACCCTTGATCGTCTGCCCTTCAGGCACATGCACTGCCAGGCCAAGATCTGAGATGCGGATGTGCCCTGCGGGGGAACGATAGTGTCAGGGCCCAGCGGGGCCCAGCAGCAGCGCAAGCCCCTGCTGCCCTGCACCCCTGACTCACCGTGGTCATCCAACAAGATGTTTTCTGGCTTCAGGTCCCTGGAGAGGAGAGAGGATGGCACTAGCAATGGCTCCTGTCTGTCCAGCACTGGGGACTGCCCCAGGGAGATGCCAGGGCCTTCCCAGCTATAGCAGCCTGGTATCACGCAGGGAGCAGGGACGTGGCCCCACTGAGCTGCAGGAAGGCTGCCCTGGTGTGTCGGTGACAGCTGGGACAGGGAGGGCCTCCCTGCTTGGACCCTTGGCAGGGAAGGGGCCAGCCCCCCAGCTGCAGCCCTCTCCTTCCCACACCGAGCCCTTCCGGCTCCCTGCTGCAACCAGCGCTACCTCTATGGGGCAAGCGGGACCAGCCGGGCTGGCTAGAGCCACATGCAGTGGGGCTCCCTCAGACCCTTCCTGACACCCCCAAACCCCAGGTTTCCAGGTGTGGAGGGAACACCCGGCCCTCACCGGTACACGATGCGCTCATGGTGCAGGTCAGCCAGGCCACAGCAGATCTCGGCAGCGTAGAAGGTGGCGCGGGGCTCGGCGAAGCCGGCCTCGCCCATGTGGTAGATGTGGAACTTGAGGTCACCCCCGTTCATGAGCGTAAGCACCAAGCACAGCGCATCCTTCGTCTCGTAGGCATAGGCCAGGCTCACCTGTGCACAGCACCAGGACCTTTAGGGCACCAATGCCTGCAGCCCCCCAGCACCTGCCCCCACCCCAGCACCAGATGTGGGAGCATCTCCTGGAGCAGAGCTGCACCTGCCTGAGCATCCCCGCTGCTCCTAGCATCCAGGCTCGGCCTGGCAGGAAGGTGCTGGGCAGAGGAGCTGCTCCCCTGCCGGGCCCTGGGTGCCTGACAGCAGGTTCCACCCCCCAAAACTGGCCACGGCACCACCAGGAGCGGGGAAGAGGGTGGTGTTGGAGTGGCAGCCCCAGTACCCCCCTACCCCCACCCCTCTGCCAGCTGAAGCCAGGCCTGAAGACTGCTGCCTGCCAGGGAGACAGCAGTGCTCCTGGCTGCCCGGGGGGGGGCAGGGGCCGCCGCAGCGCAGAGGGAGCCACTCCCAGGTACTTACTACAAACCTACTGTTCACTCGCTCCAGGATCTGCTTCTCGTTCAAGGCCATGGCTTCCCCCTTCCGCTTCTTGATGCGCTTCTTCTCCAGCTTCTTGCAGGCGTACATCTTCCCCGTGGCCCGTACCTGGCAGGCGCACACCTGGGGGCACGGGGCAGCCAGGCCTACGGTCAGCTGGCGGCACGAGGGCGGACAGACAGCACTGGTGTGGTCGCCATCCCTCCCCATGCCCTCCTCAACATACATGTGGCAGAGCCAGGCCTGGACTCCATCCCAGGGCCGTGGCGAGGCAACACAGTCAGAGTCCCCAGGGCCAGCAGCACCAGTCCCCACTCTGGTCCCAGCTACCACCCACCCCACAGCTGCAGGGGTCCTTCCTGCCAACTTGGTGGGAGAGGCTGAGGTACGAGGGAGGAGCCCAAACCTCTCCCCACATGGGGACGGGGGATATGCCAAAGGCCCAAAGGTCTGGTCTCCCTGGGCCATGGTGGGTGCCTGCCCTATTGCCAGACGGGCTCTCCTGGTTCTGGAGGGCAGCCGGTCACTGAGCACTGGACCCAAACTCAACGGGAAGCCCGACCACTCACCTCACCAAAGCCGCCCTTGCCCAGCACACGGTACTGCCGGAAGGTGTTTTTGGTCACGGGCTGTCTGCAGGGAAGGAAGGAGGCTGGACTGAGCCTGGAGCTGTACGACAGCTGCCCCAACTGCTGCCACCTCCGAGCCAGCCACCGCTGTGGGCTGCCCAAGCCATGACATCTGCAGCCCTCGTCCCACGGCACAGACTGGCACATCTGGGGCCCCGGGAGGGGGGAGCCGTGATGGAAGGCGGGGCTGGCCAGGCCCCAAGGGGGAGGCAGAGCAGCCAAGTTACCTTTCCATCCATTTCCACTGCAGGAAGCGGCTGAAGTACAAGCTATCAAGGTAGTCGGCGAAGGGAGCCACGCTCAGGTAGTCGTGGATGAGCCTGGGGGGACCAGGGGTCAGCACTGCAGCATCAGCCCCGCGGACAGTGCCCATGCACCCACCCAGCCAGGCAGCCCCATATGCCCCTTCCTCCCAGGCCAGTGCAGGGCTGGCCCTGCTGGGTACAGCCCCCCGTGCAGCGGGCACAAGGACAACCATGCTCTCCACCTGCAGTAGGGCAGCGCCTAGCGGAGCTGCATCTGCATCAGCCCACACCCCAGCAAAGTCCCACAGGAGTAGGGCGCTGGGTGGGCATCCCAGATATGCACCCACCACCCGTGGCTGTTGCAAACGGTCCCGGGCAGCTGGCAGAACCTGGCCGTGTGCCTGGACTTGCACCACAGCACCTCGCCACAGGCAGCCCTGACTCTGCCCACTGCCACAGCTCCAGCTCCAGTTGTGCAAGGTGCAGCACTGCAGGCCTGCCCTGCTCACCAGCTTCCTCCACATCCCAGACCCACATTGCTGGCCACACCTATCCCAGGGGAGCTCCCCCACCCCCCTGCAAGGCCAGCCCATCTCTACCCACCTACCTGGTGGACTCCTTGAAGAGCTCCTTGGAGGACTCCTGCTCCAGCCTCTCGCAGCATGCACCCGCCAGCTGCGCGGGGATCTCGGGCACATGGTCCGTGCTCTGTGGGCAGGAGATGCCGAGTCAGACATGGGACCGAGCCCTGGGGCCCTCCTGCCAAGGAAGCAGAGCCCCAGCACTTTGCCCAGGCCTATACTTCCCAGGCTGGGGGGCACAGAACAATGCAGGTGTCCATGCCCAGCCCACCCCGTGCTACTGGCTCACCTCAGGGCTCAGGAAACTCTCGATAAGGCGCTGCCCACACTCCCTGCGCTTCTCGTCAGGCGTCACCTCGTACTCAGCCTGAGGGCGGAAGGGGATCAAGATGCCTGCAGGAGGGCAGCATCCACGCCGCTCCCCCCCGCCCAGCATCACAGCACAGAGTTGCTCTGGCCCTGCACCCCGGGCTCTGGCACCTCCCTTCACTGGCCACAGCCCCACCCTTCAGGAGCCGTGGGTCACAGACCCCCCTGCCCTGAACACGCTGCAGCAGGCGGCAGGGAGGATGGACAGCAGCCACCGCCCTCCCAGCCCAGCCCTGCCCCAAGCAGCACGTGGAGCTCAGTGCCAACAGCCCAGGCCCTGGCCCCAGCCCCGCTCTTACCACAGCATCCAGGAACCTGACGCAGCGTGACAGCTCGGGCCGCATCTCGCAAAACTGCCGGAACAGCGCACGCCCGATGGGCTGCTTCTCGCACAGGTTGTGGTAGTCCCGCTCTGCAGAGCAGAGAGAGGCGGAGCCGACCCAACACAAGCTGAGCAAGCCACACAGGGCCCAGGGCAACTATCCTGGCCTCGCCTGGGCACAGACTATGACCCCCAACTGGCAGAGAACAAGAGTGGGGAGCCGGGAGCGCCCCGAGCGCAGTGCTCCAGCTGGCTCGTGCTCCCTCCCCACAGAGGCCGCACCCCACCCTGCAGACATTAACCCGTTTTTCCCACAAGGGATCTGCCCTTGGGTCCAAAGTCCTGGGGCCTGGCCAGGGCTGGTGGCTGGGCACATCCAGCCTCCTGCAGCAAGGGCGGTTTCCCAGGCCACAGGCTGCTCTGGGGACTCTGCACCCGGTCAGAGCAGGAGGGGGCTGCCTGGACTGGTGCCTGGTCTCTGCAGGCCACAATGCCGGCCAGAAGCACAGGCCGGGGAGTCGGCACGGCACTGCCCCCATCGTACCCAGTCTGTGCCTCCGTTGCTGGCCCCCGGGCCCCACCCCCATGGATGTCCTCACCACAGCACGAGCCATGGTTATCAGGACGGCTGCCTGCTTCCTGCACTGCTCTGCTGAGCCGCTGCCGTGCATTTGTGGGGCCATTTAGACACCCCCCAGTGCGCACCAACTCCGCCCTGGGGGCAGAGGGGGGCAAGACCATCCCAGACCCACAAGGATGTGGACACGTGACCCGGCTGCAGCAGCCACCGTGCTGGTGTCTCCACCTGCCCTTGAGTCACCCCAACCTCAGGCTGCTGCCTGCACAGGAAAGCCCTCCCCGAGGGCGGAGCCAGGGGCACAACAGCCCTGCTGCAATCAGCTCTCCCACACAGGCCAGGACTGGGTGCACCCCCCGCCCGTGCAGCAGCTCCTGAGGAAGCTGCGGTTTCCTGAGCAGTGCATGAGCTCAGAGGCACAGCTGGAGGGGTGGAGATGCCCCCACAGGCAGGCAGCATGTTCCCTGTCTACCAGGAAGTGAGCTCAGGTCGAGGGGGAAGGGGCCCGGCTGCATGGGGCTCAGGTCTGCAGGGGCACCGGCTCAGGGGTGCAGGGAATGGCACCATCCTAAGGGGCTGGAGGCTCAGCAGGAACATCTCGGCATGCTGGACCCACGACGCCCACAGCCCGGGTTCCATGCACCCCCACGGCACTGCCAGGCAGTGACCGTACCAAGGGCTGCACAACCCAAGTTGCCTCCCACACCGGAGCATCCCCCCGGGTCCTGGCGCTGACCGTGGTGCTCAGCTGCTCTGCCGCAGTTTAGCTGCATGTCAGAAGCAGGGAGCGAGGCCCAGACCACGGCCTGGTGCCAGGGAACAGGCCGGGCCTGGAGCAGGAGCAAGGACCCCAGGGCACGAGGAGCAGCAACAAGCTGCATCTGGAGGCTCCTCTTTGCCCGGGGGCCCTGGCAGGGCATGCATGTCTCTGGGGGAGCTCCGCAGCCCAGGGGACCCTGGGGAGCAGTGTTGGGGCTCCCCGGAAGCCAACCCACACTCACGCCCCCAGCCCTGGTGCTGGTGAGGATGCCACACACCAGGTGCTCCGTGTCACAGCACGGCAGAGCCCTCCGCCTTCCTGCGACAGCAGACACGGCGCTGCCAGGTCACGGCGCTGGGTGTGCAGAACAGGGGCTGCCCGGTGCACTTCACAGCCGGAAGAGCCGGGTCTCACCGAGAGTCTGCCGGAGCTCCTCGCACAGGCTGATGTGGGGAAACTGCAGCATCTGGCGCCATTTCTTGCTCTTGCCCTTCCGGTTGCCACTGCCACCTGCAGGGGATGCAGCATGGGCATCACCAGCTGCCCAGGTTGAGACCCGGGGCGAAGGCAGCAGGCAGCACCGCTCTGCCCGTGCGCACACGCCAGCCCACGGGCAGCCAGGGGTGCTTGGCACCACAAGCCGGCAGGACACGGCACCCACCCTCCTGCAACCTGTCTCTGGCTGGCAAGAGACCCCAGGACTCGCCGTGTGGGCACATGGACAGCACCGGGCAGGGACAGACAGGCCTCGCCAGCCAGTGCGAACACCAGCAGCACCGAGGCCTCCCACCCACCCTGTCGCAGGGACGGGGACCAGCACAAGGGAGTCCACAGGCCACAGAGGATGCTTGAGCACCCAGCCCTGGTGGCACCTCTGCTCCTGCCGGCCACGGCCGCCCCAGGCGCCGAGCTTGCCGCCCCGGCACGTCTCCTGCAGCCAGGCGATCTCGAGAGCGGCAGGGACGGTGGGACACAGGAATTCCTGCTCCCGGCTCAGCTCGTGCTGACTCACCGCGGCCCGGGGCAAGCCGCTCACTCCGCTCTGCTCCCTCCCTCCCTCCCCCCCGCAGGGAAGAAGCCTCTACCAGGAAGCCGGACGCAAGCGCCCAGTGGCATCAGCCTGCAGCCAGCTCGGCCCCGTGAGCGCCCGCCCGGGCAGGGCCAGGAGGTGCCAGGCAGGCCTGGGGCAGGCGCTGCCGCCGGTGCCGGATGCGACAGGGGCTGCATGCCGAGCGCCCACCCTGCCGCCGCCGCCCCCACACGC